GGATTGTATCTGTGTTTTTTGTCCTTGGTTATGGAAATGTTGCATGTTCATTATGTTTCATGACTAAATAAAATAACATTTGATTACCAGCGTAATTGGCAGAAGTAGTAATACCTTGCTCTAGCTGTAGTAGATAAACTGTGACACTAGATGGAGTCAACAAGCCGTCTGGATTTTAAAGGATTCACGAGGGAGACCAGGGGCATGGATGGTGAGCGGAAATGGGCTTTTTTCTTTTATTTAGTGTTGTAGCTCAATTTAAAATATTTTATCGCATTGTTCACAATAATAATCTGTGATTTATCATGATTAATCACAAGTTTAATACTTGTATTTACCTGTATTTTGGGGGGAGATAAAACAAATACACACGTGTTGTAATAAATAAATGCATGACAAACTATAAACAATAATATGACACTCATCTAAAGCTTTGTGAAAAAACGCTCTCACAGTGATTCCCAGTGTGAGCTGCACATATACGTATGGTATATTGTTACTGTGAGCACTATCTCTCCTTACAGTGCTGACCCTGTCCTCTAACTCACATTCCTGTGCAACTTCAAGAAACTGGAGAATGCTTCAGAAAAACACCTTTCCTCTGTTTTCACCACACCTAAGGAACGAGTGCAGAACATTTGTCATGCATCAGGAGTTCTGTTACACCGAGATTGTGCTGGTTCTTGCTGATGTCTAGCGGTCTCCAGTCTGTGATATACATGCAGCCTGTGCCAATTGTTGGTAAAAATCAACGGAGGAATTACAGGAAATTGGGGTTGTACTTGGTAACGTGGTTCATTTTATCATCATTTTTTGTTGTATAGTTAGGTTTCCAGATGACTCAAAAGCGAGAGAGTTTTTCTCCTGAGACCCATCCATTCATTTTTGTCCTGTGTGGTGCACATGTGTTGGTCTATTACTTTGACAGTAAATATGCCACAGCTTTCAATTACTTCACAGAGGACTTATTTTGTGACATGTGACATATGTGGGTTTGTGACTTAAAAAAATGTTTTTCCTTGTATCTCAAAATGGCGTCCATCAACACAAGCACATTTTGTGGATTGAAAAATAGTCATGTTGTAATTAGCAGTGTTTTCAGGGAACATCTGAGTAGTTAATGAGTTTTCAGAGCAGTGTAAATGTATTCATGAATGTCCTCTGCGGAGAACACAGGGATGTGCTTACTATTTATGTCCTCTATTTTACACAATACAAAAGGAGGCAGCTAACAAACTGAGGCAGAGAGAATTCTGAACAGAATCAGTGAGGGAGACTCAGATATATTATCAGATGATGAAGATCCACAGGCAGTGATGGAGGAAGAGGATGATGTTGACAACTCAGAGGAGGAGGTATTGACTGAGAAAGAGCAGGAGACAGTTACAGAAGAGAGGGTCCGTCGTCCACTAGGGGCCAAAGCTAACACGTGGGTTTCTGTAGGGTTGGGATGCAGCATTATTCAACCTACAAGGACTTCTGGAAATATAACTATAGTAGTACTACTGTAGTAGTATACGTGTACATTTCTCTCAAAACATTAAAGTTTGACTTTTGCTTGTTATTGTTGTTGTGAAATAAGTATAGAATATATGCTAGGTGAAGTTGGGATAATATTTTAATTATTTGTTTATCTCTTAGCCTGTGTTGGAAGAAACCAGAGTGGCCCAAACCGTGTGGACAGCCCCCCTCTAAACAATTTGAGCAATACATCAAAAACAAGGTATTTTAGGATATATTGCACTTCACAAAGAGAGCTTTAGGTGTCAGGCTCGAGTCTAAGTACAACACCTGAGGAGATCAATACCTTCTTTTGGGGTGTCATTTACATGGCATGCCTCGGATACCCCAAAAATAAAGGTCTACCGGTCTACAAAAATAAGAGTACCAGTAATATCTGAGTCCATGGCACGCCATCGCTTATCAAGATCAGACGTTCACTCAAAATCATCGATGATCTCAATGTAACAGAAGAAAAGAAGATGAATAACCTGCTTTGGAAAGTCAGCCCACTTCTGAAGAAGAAACCTTCCAAGGCCAGGAAAGGTTTCCATTGATGAAAAAATGGTTCCCTTGACAGGTCGGTGACCTGTCCATAATTTTTAGCCCGGCAAGCCAAATCCAGCAGGATTAAAAATATTTGTTCTTGCTACTCTAAAAGGCATTGTGTTAGACTTTGATGTCTATCAGGGAAAGAAAACCTTCACACTCAGGACCTGGAATAGGTGCAAACGTGGTTGTTTGCTTGCCTGAGTCTGTTCCCATGCACTTTGACAAGTATGATGATGATGATGATGATGATGATGATGATGATGACTAAAGGGTTGATTATTATTTTCTCTTTACATAAGGATATGGCACTTATGAAACCCCTGCTTCTCCTGTCTGTTTATATGTCTAGGTACTTTACTTCTATCAAACTACTGGATCTATTGCTGGAAAAGGGCCTTCCTGAAAATGGAACACTTGTGAAAAATAGAATCCCAAAATAAATCAAAATCACCAGTGATAACATATTTGATTAACAAGGGAGAGGGTCATCTGAAATGGTGACAAGGAAGCCAAAATAGCTGGCTTTGACCAAGTGGATAGACAGTAAACCAGTCCTTATGGTGTCCACAGTGCACGGGTTAGAGCTCAAAGATACCTGTACAAGATGGTCACAGAAAGATAAAAGCATGTCCAGGTGTCAAGACCTGCAGTGGTGGCAGAGTACAACAACCTGGCGAGACACACACAAACACGCACACACACACATAGGAAAATAAACATATTAATTATATGTAATATAATTAATGAATGGCGCAAGCAGACATACTACAGCATATAACTATTTGAAAATAACTTTTTAAAGTGTGCCGATTCATAAATGCTGATATAAAAGTGAAAAAATAATCAGCAAAATGAATGAAAATGAACTGATTGGAGCAGCTGTGGCAAATCTAAGTCCAACTGAAACCCAAATGGAGGGGGATGATGTGACAAGCCTGCGTTTATCCAGACAAGCCAGATTTGGACATCTTACGCGCAGAAGAAACATTATTAAGGAGCTAACGGAGGACCGCATGAATGCAGAGGAAGTGCAGGAGAATATGGTCAAATATGATGCTTTGACGGAAAGTTTTATAGACTCACACTTGTCACATCACATACTTTTAAACGAGGAAGAAGAAAAACGTGAGAGTGAAGCTTGGTTTCAATCGAAATTGACTAGCATTGAATAGTTTATTATTTTTGTGACAAGATGGCTGTCCGAGTGTGCAACAGGAAAGGAGGATTCTCTTTGGGAAAGTGCGTCTGGAGTCTCCAAAAGATCTCAAAGAAGTGAACGTTCATCAAGTTCATCTGCTCGCATCTGTGCAGAAGCAGAGAAAGCTGCGCTAATGGTAACACTAACTTCATTAAGGACCAGGCATGCTTTGGACAGTGGCGAACCGTCAGGGCCTTCAAGGTATTCAGAGAATACCCTGGAACACTCAGATAAAACAAACAAAAATCGATTTAATTATATAAATAAAATGTAATAAAATGTATATAAAATGAATAAATGAGAATCGTATCTGTGTTGTTGATCTGTAATATTACAGTGTTACGTTGATTTGTTTGTCCTTCTCGGACCATGCACTACGCATTTCAGTGGTTTTGTGTTAGAAAAGAAAGCAACCAATCAGATCTTGTTCTGGGTCTCTGGGTAGAATATCCTTCAACCAAGGTATTCTACATCCTTGATAGCTAGAATGCCCTGTGGCCTCATTTATAAAGGGATATACGCTCAAAAGATGGCGTACGCCAGTTTCTACGCAATGTTTGCGATTTATAAAATACTAACTTGACGGGAAAACGTGCGGTCCTCCACGCAAACTCTAACCCATGCGTACGCACTAAGCACAACAACGGGAGAGACGAGAAACTGCGACACCGTTGGCAGAAGGAAGAATGGAGAGAAATATGTGGAAATAATACCATCAATAAAATGTTACCTCTCATTTATCATATATGAAGAATTCATTTTCAAACATTGATTAAAGCCAATCTTAAAATGATTTAACAAACGCCTGTTTGAGACTCCTCAGTGCACACAAAAACACAACTTGGAGAAATAAATAAATACGGATATGTTATTTAAAACCACCTTGAATATGTTGTGTTAATGTTATGAAATGTTTTCTCATAAATGATGCGGTAAGCAGGAGGACAGAATTACGTCTAAACTGACGCCGTTTTGCATTTCTATAGGTTGTAGATACGAGCATGGTTTTATATACTATCACGTTTAATCGTGTTTTATGCCGTTTGCCAAGACTTGATAAGTCGCTCGTAAAACACAGGAGGTATGGAAACTAAGAACACCATATGTGGTCAATTGTACAGCTAATATAACACAACACATTAGTTGTATTTCCTTTAACTGGTGGATATAGAGTTGCTGCGGGGGGGGGGGGGGGGGGGGGGGGGGGGTGAGATGCACAGGCTGCAGTGGAGACTCTGCGCACAGCTGATCGACAGCTGGGACACAAACCATAATTCAGATCCAGTTGTCATGACTCCACACCGGAGGGATTCCCCGATCATTTCTTTCAGTTTCTCATCAAGGGGGTGTCTCCTGTCCCCGGTACAAACACACTGCCTGAGGAAGGCTATGTGTATTGTTTTTGTCATTATCCTTTTTCGGACCACTTATGGCGCGTTTCCACTGCAGCGGGTAGCTCGCTTTAAGCGCGCTTAGCCGTGCGGGGCCCGTTTTTGGTTGCGTTTCCACTTGGCCTAATTTTGGCCCGAGGCTACTTTTTGGCCCGAGGCTACTTTTTCACCCTTTTTCTGGCCCGACTAAATCGTGGTTCTATCGAGGCCAACAAGCGGGGCCAACAACCGGGCGGAATATGCTAAACTAGTGACGACTGCTGATTGGTCAGAGAGAATCGTCACAATTCTCGCGCGACTTAATCCCTAGTGTCGCATATATTAAGGGACACTTGCAGCATTTTTGTAAACCTAAGAAAATGGCAAAGAAAAACATACCGTGGTCGATTGAAGAAGTTGCGACGTTCCTCCAGCTGATTGCAGATGATACAATCCAGCGGGAGCTCGATGGCACAACTCGCAACCTAAACGTTTTTCAGGAGGTCTCTGCACTGTTGTCCGAGCGCGGATTCTCAAGGACTTTCCAGCAGTGTAGGGAAAAACTGAAAAAGCTTAAGAGTGAGTATAGAGCCGTGAAGGACCACAACGGCCGGAGTGGTTCAGATAGGAAAAGCTGGAAGTGGTTCGACCTGTTGGACGCTATTTATGGCCATAGACCGGCCAACGTTGGGAGGGAGGGAGGCCTGGACTCTGCAACCGCGTTACTGGAGTCCCTGCATGGTAAGTCTTTGCTAACACTCTGTTATTTGCTTGAAAGCGTTGTGTCCCTATCTATTCTAAAGCTCACTTCTAACAAACAAGTATTTTATCCTTACATTTATGTTTGACAACCCATGCTTTTATGGAGCCCCGAAGAGCTACATAGCTAGCTGGCAGATAGCATTAGCTAGAGCTATTGTTTGCTAACACCACATGCGCCATTGTTTAGGTTCTTCTTTTCTACAGTTGTTGTTGCTATTTAGTATTGTGCTACAGTAGTTTGTGGAATTAAGAAGTCATGTTGCTGTTCTAGATGATGCCATTGGGACTAGTGAGGAGGAACAGTCCCGAACAACGGGTGGTGGCAGTGTTCCGTCCTCAACATCATCAGAACACACCTCAACTCGACCACAGACACTAGTCGAGGAACCGACACCAACGCCGAGTGCCATCACGACACCGCAGCGTGTGGTTCTAGGTAAGAAATAGGCATGGCAAAACGACTGGAATTGTGACTTTTTTTTAAACTTTAGATCATCCATCGTCATTAAGTAAAATAAGCTATACCACTGTGTGGAAATGCTCTGTTACAAACTAGCTAGTACGCAGCTAGTACAATTGTGTGTGACATCCTATTATATACATATATTTATATTCATTATCAACAGGCTGGACATAATGTAATTCACTTTCACAATCATTGTAAACATCTAGGGCATAACTGTCTTTAGTTCATCCTTACTGTTGTTCTGCTTATACATTGTATGGTATCCTTGTGTGACCTGTACCTGTCCTGTGTTTTTCATTGTTATTGCTAATTATTATTGCTATAATTATCTTATCGTCATACAGGCAAGAGGAAACGAGGAGGAGACGAGCACCTTGCACAGCAGGCACGGCACCATGAACAGAGCCTGGCCCAGGTGGATCGGCACTGGCAGCTGACCATGGAGGCTGCTGCCCGGTAGGGCTGCACGATTCTTGCTCAAATGTGAATCACGATTTTCCTCCATAAGAATTGAGATCACGATTCTCACACGATTCTCATCGTTTCAATGAAAATATTTATTGCAACATTTTTTTTAAACAGACAACATTTCAACACGAATTCCACCAGCCTGCTGTGTGGTCATTAAAGATTCTTATCTAATCTAATATAATTTGTCTCTCTCGTAACAAAAACATAACTTAATAAAAGGATTAACTTAAATACTGCAGTCAACTACTGAATATAAAAACGGAACAGAACATAAAGTTACAGCTTTAGAATAGATGTAAATAAAGCCTAGCTGCCTAGCTACTAGCACAGTCCATCTACTGCACTAAGATTCTTGGCTAAGAACACCAACATGTCGACATTCTGAGGTTTCAGGGAGGAACGCAGGCAAGTTACAATGTTCCCCCCTGTACTGAAAGCCCTTTCTGAAGGGCTACTGGTCGCAGTAATACATAAGTATTTCCTGGCAAGCATGGACAATCTTGGGTATTGTCCCTTGTTGTCATTCCACCACTTTAAGGGGTCATCTTCGCTGTCGATATTTCTTGAGAGTAGATATGCGCCTAGTTCCATGTCGACAACTTGCTCGACTTCAGGTGCAGCTGCCTCGTTCCCCTTTGCTACTTTAAAAAAGCTGCTTAAGGTCTTTCTCTTCTTCCCACCAGGGGGGGGCGTGGCACTGGAGGAAGCTGTGGTGGGAGTGAGGCTGAGACTCTCCTTGAAAAGGGAAAATAGAATTTAATAAAAAGGTTAACCTTAATATTCTACACTTGATAACTTAAGTAATATATCAGCAGTTAAATACTAAGGTTGATAAACTAAATAAATGTTCCCAATTCATATAAACAGTTACCATAGTAACGATGCTAGTCATCTCATCCTTCAGTCTGGTCTTGACAGTGGTTTTGTTGTCCTCGCTGACATAGTCCAGTTTGAACCTTGGATCCAGACTTGTAGCTATGTCGAGCAGCGCCTGTGTCTTTGGATCACTGTACTTCTCCTGAAGGTACTGCAGGATGGTTGTTTTAATCGAGCGAGCGAGTGCAGGGTCGTCTTCCTTCACTGCCATCAGTGATTCGAAGAGGTGGAGGACTGGCTTCACAGAGGAGACAGACACATATTGCTCCCCTGAGAGCGCATCTGTGAATTCTGCCAGTGGTGTTAGTGTCTTGTCAATCACCTCAAGAACCTGTATGTCTTGCCATGTCAGAATGTTACCTCTAGCGAACTTGTTCCGGTCAGTGTTCCGGGCGAGAACTCGTGTAATGGCCTCTTGTTGTTCAAGGACCCTGTTGACCATAGCTAGACGGGATCCCCATCTTGTTTGGCACTCCGTTTTGAGCTTGTGGTCAGGTAGATAGAGGTCCTTTTGTGCAAGCTCTCTCTTCCGCTTCCAGCTGTGGCTGAAGCAGCTCACTATCTTTTTGCAGACCCCCATAGCACGGCTGATTCGTTCATCTTTCATTGAATTTTCTAGAGAGAGAGAAACAATGTTCAACTTTGCTGTAAAAACATGACAAAAAAATGGTAAAAAAATATATATATACATATAACAGTAATTCATTAAGGCATAGCTAAAATGTAATGCACAGTAAAATACTCACTATAGGGCAGTGACCACCAACTGGCGACCCGCGGGCCACATCCGGCCCGCCAGACATTCTCATCCGGCCCGCACGACAGGGGTGACTGCGGCGTGGTTACTGTGTGCAGTACCGGAGTCCAACAGAGAGGCAGCAGCTGCGGGACAGTAGACTGCGTAATGCGAAACCTTCCCTGCCTTGAAGAAGAAGTGATCCTTCGTTGTGAAGAGTCTGGTTAATACGGTCCGCACCACAGCAGCAGCCCTGCTGCGACAGAGTCCAACAGAGAGGCAGGAGCTGCGGGACAGTAGCCTAGAAGCAAGGTTGGGTTGTAACGGAATACATGTAACGGCGTTACGTAATCAGAATACAAAAATCAAGTAGGCTAACTGTATTCAGCTGGCGTTACATTTGAAAAACTAGTAATCTGATTACAGTTACTTTCGTAAACCTGAAGTGAATACATTTTGGAATACTTATTGGAATTATTGGTGGAAAAATGTCCTCACAAAATGTAATATTCAATACCGGCAGAGCTGTGTGCACACTGCACGGCGCTGCATGTCTGTGAGCGAGAGAGATATGCAGCGTGTCTGTGAGGCCCCGCCCCCGCACGCAGATGAGAGATAGATCTCTTTTAAAATATATTGAAAGTTAGAAACGGAGATGGTTAGATAAAATGTGCAAGCTAACGTTTATGTAGAATTTCTTTATTGTCGAAATGATGACATTTCATAACGGGATCAAATCAAAGTGAATGGCCTGCTGCTGCTGAATGCCTGGGGCAAGTGACTGGAAACAGTTGTAAAAGTTATAACATCGTTTCAGATAATAAATAATAATGATAATTCATTCTATTTAGGGGCGCCTTTCAAAGCACCCAAGGACACCTTACAATTCATAGCATATTCTAAGGAAAGGTTTTAAGACAGTACAAAGAATGCAGTCCGGGTGATGTTTTTTATGTGGGGTGCAGATGAGAGAGCTGTCAGAATGACACCAAGATGTTGTGTTTGTGCTCTTGATAAGCCATTAAAACAGTAAAATACGTGTCTCCTGTTCACCAAAACATACCCATCTGTTATGGAAAAAGAAAGTATTCTAAAAGTATTCTGAATATGTTAAAGTAGACCCGATTCCAACGTTTAAGACACGTAACTGTAACTGTATTCTGATTACTTTCAGAGCCATGTATTCAGTATTTAGTAACTGATTACAGAACACTCAATACCCCCCCCCCCCCCGGTCTACAACTTCAAAATTCTGGACTATATAAAAATCGCTGGCCCGCGATAGTGTCTATTGGATACAGTTTGGCCCTTGGACAAATGTAGTTGGTGATCCCTGCTATAGGGCATAGCAGTGGCAGCCATGTTCTGGTTCCATCATTCCAGACCCCATTAATTTTTCCCATAGAGATTTCCTAAAATATTTATATCAATTAATGTAAGGCTAGAATCAAGCCATCCAGGATACTGGTGAATCATGACCATAACACATTTGATTCTATGAAAAATGAATGAATATTTAATTATATGATATTCTACATTTAATAAATACCCTTTGTTTTGCGGTTTTAACTTATTTTTTCCCACAAAATCAAACGTGTTATGGTCATGAATCACCAGTATCCTGGATGGCTTGATTCTAGGCTTAAAATAATTTATATAAATATTTTTGGAAATCTCTAAGGGAAAAATGTATGGGGTCTGGAAAGATGGAATAAAAAAAATGGCCTATTCATTTAAGCCTGAGTATAAATATATACCCAAATGGCGGGGGGTACTATAATATTTAGACTATACATTACAATTTTAAAATGGTGGTAATTAGTTAAATGAAATAAGATTTATTTTTTTAAATACATAAACATGTTCAGTACAATATTGACAGTTAATTTAACTCTACACTCTCAGACTTAAATGAACAGAGGACTTTACTGTGGGATGGATTGTACTCAGCTCACCTATAGCCAGATGTAGCCTGTGGCCAAAACACTGGAGCCTTGTCCAGTTGTTTATGTCGGATGCTTTTATGATGTTTGATCCACTATCTGTAGTGATGCACACCATCCTTTTCGGATCCAAGCTCCAGGACTGGAGACTTTCCATTAGTCCCACTGCAATTTCGTCGCCCGTGTGGTCCACGGGGAAGAAAGCTATCTGTAGGCACCGACTTTTCATGGTGAAATCACTGGTGATGAAATGCACCGTCAGGCTCATATATGGTTCCATGGTACGACTGGACCACAGGTCAGTTGTTGTCGCAAAGTGCTGGACATCTTTCAGTTTTGTCTCGACTGTGGTTCGAGTCTTGTAGTACATGGCAGGCAATGCAGTACGTGAAAAGTAGTTGCGGGAAGGCACTGAGTACCGCTTATCCAGCATCTTCATCAAGTTCTTGAACCCTTCATTTTGAACTGTATTTATTGATGCCATAAAAAATCAGCATGACGTCATAGGATCGCCGTAATTTAGAAATGAGATCGCATAGGTGTCTGAATCGAGATCACGATCTTTTTTCGGTTAATCGTGCAGCCCTACTGCCCGGGCGAGGGAGGAGGAAATGGCCTTGAGAAGGGAGGAGAACGCTCAAACTCATGCGTTTAACCTGGCCTTCCTGCGCACTCTCGGCCAGGTTCGAGGGGGCAGCCGACGTGGCCCGTCTCCTCAGGAAGACGAACCACCTCTGTAATTTTAATATTATTCAGTTTCATCTCTCTTGTTTTTGTTAATTTGTAAATGCAACATTTATACTTTCTTGTTTATTTCTTATCTTTCCTTTTTTTTTTTTAATAATGTCATATCTTTTTATGCTGCTGCAATACAAACATTTTTTATTTTGTATTTGTACAATGCCATGCCTTTTTATGCTGCTGCAACAAATATATATATATTTTTTATTTCTATTGTACATACAATGCCATGCCTTTTTATGCTGCAACAAAAAACACTTCCCAAATTGGGATTCAATAAAGTACTTCTCATCTTATCTCTTGTTGATAAATGCATCATCTGATTAACAAACTGATTTCCGTGAGCATGTAAACAAAGTCACTGGGTGGCCACTCACACACAATTACAGTTTTGGAATCCAATCATAAACTGAAATGTACAATTAAAGGGCTTTAAATCAGCAGAACAAAAACTCAGATTCACATGAGGCAGAAGTTATAGGCCTATATTTTTCCTAAATAAAAATAGGCTACAACTAATACCATTACTAATAATATTTGTGGATCTTTAAAAACAAAAGCCTACAATATCACTCAAAAACAATTACAAAAAAATAGCCCAATTAAGATCTAGAGATATAAACATACATGAATTTATAAAGCAATAAGAAACACCATCAGTTAGGAAAAAGCCCATAAGATAAAAGTTA